TCCATAAAAGCCCGAGCTGACACTTTACTAAAACCCCTTGGCTCCAAAACACAAACCAAACACCCGAATCATCTAAATTACGTCACCCACATCCAAATGGGTCCATATCTCATTTCCTCAAAGGTCCTAAGCCTGATATTACCCGATCTTTGGTCACCACTCCGAAATAGGAAACGATTCGGGACAGGGCGTTACAAATCTCCCCCACTTAAATTAGATTTCATCCTCGAAATTATTCCTTACCATCGCTTGCACGCCAGACATCCTGGGCAACACGGCCACAACCCCGAGCATACCATAGCCTTCCCAAAGGCGACCGAAACCAACCTCAGCAGAACTCTCTAAACCTGATGATGAACAAATCCTTAATCCCTTGTAGAAAACCCCTTCTACTTTGCCCGAAATCTGAAATCTCGAATTGGTCTGACTCCCCAACAGACTGCCCATGTTGATCCACTACCAAACTGAATCCACATTGAATTCCAAACTAAACAAAACACTTCAACCCTTCATTACTTTTGATGATTCTATTGGAAACAAAATACCTAACCATACATTGTTGCGGAACAAATTTACTTGACAGAAGGCTCAGATAATCCTTCGAGTAGAAGAATCATCCCTGTAACGGTTAGACTCATACGAGAGCTGCGCATCAAGGTCAAATCAATTACTTTGAGTTTATTTAATCCAAGCTGCAAGCGACTTAGAATATTCTCCGAATAACAAGCGACTCCACACACGAGTACCAAATCACTAATACTACCTCGACTCATCTTGAGGCCCCCTAGCTGCTTTCCAAAAGCAACCGAGACCTCCCTGGTCACAACTTACCTGCCAACTAACCGATTCACCATATTCCCACCCAGTTGCTAAGTCAAATAGACACACACATTCGCACCACGCGACTTCCGAACGAAGGCCTCATCTGACAATAGTTTCCCTAGCTATCTTGCCATTATGGTTCCAACAACCTTTCTAATCCAACCGATCAGAACCGACCGTCAAACCTGACGCCACCAAATGCAATGCTAAAAGTAGTGTTGTAAATATCGGCCTAGGCGGCGCCTAGGCGCTAGGCGGTCTGCAACTGATTACGATTAGGGTGCTTGGCGGAAATTGGTCAATATCGGTCAAACTCAGGCTAGGCGCTCCTCGGCGGACCTTGGCGGGAAGATTTTAAAAAATTCAAATTTTCAAATTTTCAAATATTACACCAAAATTTACAAAACTTCAAATTTTTAAAATTTTAAATATTCAAAATTTCAAATATTATACCAAATATTTCAAAATTTCAAAATTTAAAAATTTTAAATTTTTCAAATACTATTTTTTTAGGATATATTAAAGTTTTAAAATAGTTTTATTAGTAATTTATGGTCCCCGATTAATCCTCCGATTAATCCCCGCCAAACCGATTAATCGCTTGACCCCAGTCGACCGCCGAGCGATTTTTACAACCTTGGCTAAAAGTGAATGCTACATGACCAACTTTAGTCTTATATCACACTCGGCCTCAAACGACCCACCACTTCCCTAATTCCATGAATGTTGTGGCCTTCCCACAGTCTTACCAACTGACATACTCTAGTCCAATCCATCTGAAGAAATCCATAAACAAAATCATGGATTTACCATGCCCTCACCTCTACACAAGGACCGGTGAATGCTACAGGCCACCTCGCAGTCTTACAACACTCCAACACTGTCTGCCAACCTAGTGAATACTACGGACCACCCCGCAGTCTTACAACACTCCAACGCTATCTGCCAACCCAGTGAATGCTACGGGCCACCTCACAGTCTTATAACACCCTGGGTCTCACATGAAAGTGCTAGGAGCAACCTCCTGGTCTTCCATACAAGCATCACAAAGACAACTAAAATACAATCTACAACTAACTATCTACTTAACTGTCAGGGTCCAAACCTGGATCATGTAAATTATGTCACCCACATCCAAATGGGTCCAGATCTCATTTCCTCAAAGGTCCTACGCCTGATATTACTCGATCTTTGGTCACCACTCCGAAATAGGAAACGATTAGGGACAGGGCATTACACCTTTTATGACACGCAACGTGTGTTATTAAAGGGTTGTTTTCTAATAATGTGAACATTGTATCTCTTAACCAGAGTCTTACAAAGAGGTTGGCTCTGATCCCATTTCGAAGAGCTTTATGGTAGAGAAACTTACGGTTCTTTATCAGACTCATACGTGGGATTTGGTTCTGCTCCTTCATGGAAAGCACAAGATTGGTTGTCGTTGGGTATACAAGATTAAAACCAAGTTTGATGGTTTGTTGAAGTTATAGAGTCTGACTTGTTGCAAAAGGATATTCGCAAAAGTATGGTATGGATTATGAGGAGATTTTTGTCCAGTTGCAAAAATGACGATCACTCGCACTTTAAGTGTTGTTTCTTCTGTTCGGCAATGGTAAAAATTTATCATATGGATGCCAAGAATACATTTTTGAATTGTGATCTTCATGAGGAAGTATACATGTCTCCCCTCCCCAAGTATTGCTTCTAATATCCCAAAAATATTGGTAAAAGGTTTTATTATTAAGCCATGAGATTCATACATCAGTTGTTCCAAAACCAAACATGATATAAATGTATCTCACTTATCAGAGTAAAACCAGCAGTCATCAATGTGGAAAATCATACGGGAAATGTTGTGCAGTCAAGTCGGGCCCTTTCCTTTTGAACTAGAAGTACCTGAAAATGTTAAACCACAAAACCGTAAGCACAAAGCTTAGGAGTTCCTCAAAATACCACATACCATACAAATGGGCCCAACCCAGCATATGAATGGGCCCATCCCAACATACAAATGAGCCCAGCCCAACGGGCTCGACCCATAATACAAATGGGCCGACCCAACATACAAATGGGCCCATCCCAACATACAAATACAAGAGTCACAATGACAACTAACATCTTACATAGTATAGTGAAAGACTCGTCTGTCTCACGAAGTCAGCTAAAAACACAGCTCACTGCCACACAAATGGTGGTACAACACAACTGTTAAATCAAACAAGGTCCCACCTTAGTCTAACCTCTTTAAAACTAACCATTTTGTCCAAAAGTCAAACCAGGTCAACAAGTCAATGGTCAAGGTCAGAGTCAACGATCAACGCTTCCATCAGTTGACCCTCACGTCGTGACCAGCTACTGGTCACGTCGTGGGAAATGAACTCAACCCAATTCCAACTCAGTCACGATTTAACTCAGTCTCAGCTCAAATCAGTCTCGATCCAAATCATCGTCACGTTGTGATGTGCAGTCATGACGTCGTGATAGAATCAATCCAAATTAATCGGGGAAAGGCCCGATTGTCACGTTGTGACAACAAGGGTGTCACGTCGTGAAATTGATTTTCTCAACTTAATGGATTCAACTCTTAATCTAAGCCATTGATCCAATCTTTCCAATCTTTCTAGAAAGCCTCCTAGCGTCCAATAACACCTAAAGGTCGATGCGTTTAGCCATGCATGCTCATTATGAGTCTAAGGCTCCAACTACGTCAAACATGAAGAAATATCACCACAGATCACATGTATGGGTCCAATACACAATCAATTTGCAGATTTGAACCATATGATATACAAAGGACCTCACGGATCAATATAAAGTTGCTAACTTTATGGAATCCTACAATTCCAACTATCTCATAATTGAAGAAAATAAGACAAAACCTTAGATCTAGCAACCTAACATAAGAAAGTTAAGATCTTAGACACATACAAAGGTCCAAAGATGCTCAAAATGAAGCCCCAAGCGAGCCAAGACACTAACAACACTTCTAAGGCCTCCTTCTTTCTTCAAAAGAAATCATAAGCACCAAAATGAGCTCAAAATGAAGGAGAGGGATTAGAGTTTTCTTCTATAGGTTTGGAGGTGATGGAGACTAAGGATGAAGGAAACCTTAGCCCCTCACTTCCTTTAAATAGGGTCCAAGTCCGGATTTAGGGTTTTGCTTTTGATCAGGTGTCACGTCGTGACCCACATAGTGTCACGTCGTGACACTTAAATGACCTTTCCCGCATAACGCGATCATGTCACGATGTGACCGTGCTTCCTTCACATCGTAACCCTCTCAAAATACATATTTTACTTAAAGTTTCATACCTCGAGGATCTGGATGTTACATTGCTCACCAACCATGTAAAGGTTGTCGACTTCAGAAAACATACTAGGTTTGAAGGGGGATGTTAGCCTAATCAGTTTATTGAGTTCTTCTTTTTTTTTTTTTTTTTTTGGTATGGGCCCTATGTTCAGACATTTAGCTATGTTTAACCTAATTAGCTTTATATTTATTGTCTTATTTTGTTTCTATTGTCCCATAGTTTACATGCGTGTTTTTCATGGAGTTGATTTATTTGTTCATAAGCAAACACTAAGATTTGTTTACTTTTTAGTATTCGTTTCTTGGTGTTTCAATTTAAAAAGATTTGGGAAGGTGACTATTTGTTTGTTGGGTGTTGTTCACATTTCTTAGTTTGGCAAACCATAAACCCTAAACCGCAAGTGTGGTCGTGGTGGCCACACAATGGTCAAGCATAATGACATCCATATAAGGGCTGTAACAATGACGGTGATGATGGCAGCAACAAGCAGCACCACCATGAATGACCATTGCAATCCTTGACAAGGCTACAACAGCAAATTTGGCGCTGATGGGGGGTGGTGACGACGGCAATGATGTAATTAAGCTTTGATCACCAACACTCCAACTTGTATTGGTAACATATATATGCTGCTACTTTAAACATAATTTACTATAAAGGATAGTTTTTCCAAATATAGAAACGTACAAAATCCAAGATTAGGGTTTTTGAAATTAATTCACATAAACCCTGGAAACCAATATATGCCGATCTACTACTACCACCGTAATTCTAATTAAATTCCTGAAAAATACATTTTTCCCAACTTATCCCCCAATGGATTTTCTCGATGCTACTGTATTATTTTATCATAGTTAAATTACAAAACTACCCCACAAAATCATGAATCAACTGACGTCCAAACCGCTGCCTGAGCTGATGTTCATGTTGCTGCAACTGTTGCACATGTTCAGCATTCTGCCTGAGTCCCAAAGTAAGAGAAACAGGCCCAACTCCACCAGCTTCAAATGTGGTTCGTGGGTAGGGCATGATGTTTGTAAAAGATCGGTCCATTGTGGTTTGAGGAATCTGAAACTCTGGCCTTGATCTTTTCTCTTGCTCCCATAGTTGCCCATTTGGTTCATTTTGATTGTTTATCATGATTAAGGATCCAGAATTCCTTGAACACTCGGGTTGTTGCTTATTTGTCAGTGAGCTCATATCCATCCTGCTAGTGTCTTGATCATCAGTTGGAGGATTGTTTGTATTTGTGTTGGAGTCCACCAAACCTTTAGTTTCAAGGGTGTGGATTTCTTCCACCATAGGCTTCCATATGCGCACTCGAGCATTTATAAACCAGTTTGAAACCTGATTCAATCACCATCAAAATGAATTACCTTGACAAAACACATTTCTTATGAGTGTCTTAAAGCATCAAGACATTCATAGTAACTAACCTGATTTCTTGTTAGTCCCGTTTGAGTTGCCAACATATGTTTGTCCGCATCCGATGGGTACCTATAAGTATAAATTTAGCCCATGCATTGTTTTATTTTATACAAGCTCTCAAAATTAGAATTTCATGCACTAATGTGACGGATATTTACGGGTGAAGAAAATGGTCGAAAAGCCAAGCTTTTAGAACCGAGACTGCACGTTCAGGAAGGCCTCGTTGAGGTCGCCACACGGGTTGTTGGTTCCCAAAGATTGCTGACCCTCCACTTGATTTCCCGTGTCTTTGTGAGTTATGATCAATGGATTTCAACTGAGACAATGAATCATTTGTACCAGTGGTTGGAGAACACAAATCTTCAAAGGTCTTCTTCATTTGTGTAAGTTGCTCAGAAATCGCACTCTTAACAAAGTGGAAATGGCGTGATACTGACTTGAGAGCCAAAGAAACGTATGGAGTTGCTGAACTAAGTCCAGCGACTGTTTCAAAAGATGAAATCACCATCTGCATCTGCTGATTATATTGCTTGTACCTTCTGCATACCTTTTGAAAAATATAACACCAAGAACCATGCATTATAACACATGAAGTAAAGGATAGTTGTGACAATAGATTTCTTTTGTGGGCTCGTGAATGGAAAGTTGGATGGGAGTGGAGAACATTGCATGTGAAAGGTCAATCATGGTGTGATTAGGGACATTAAAAGTGACGATAGTGGGGTAACTACAGTTAAAAGTATGTTTATCAATTGGGTATTGTAATAAGAAAGTTCTCCAATATTATAATCTTACTGATTTTGACCCCAAAAAATTCTAAGTTTTCTCCATTATGAAAGTACTTTCGTGGGTCCGTTATGTTACGGATCATTTTGAATTGATAAGAGGAAATTAACAGTATCCTTGACGTCTGGAAGGGCAATACTCTTATACTCTTTCGAGACGAAAGGTAAAAAGGCAAAAAAAGAATGACCAAGAAAAAACAAAAGAAAAGGTAATTCTTTACGTCCATATTATCAAATCAGAGAGAGTAATAATAGTATTCAGTATTCACTAGTGAAAATAGATGATAAGTATATTCATCGACTCATCGTACAAGTGTTTGTCAACCAACATCCGGTGGGAATGTTGTGTCACACCCTTTTCACATAGTACAACTATTTCTTGAAAGTTTTGAGCGACCATTAACTATTTATTACCTCTATTTACTACAATAAGTTTTGATAAAATAAAAAATATGGCTGTAAAAGATCCACATTTGGAACATAAATTATCACTAGGATCCCGTATGAAACATAACATAAAAATTAATAAGAGAAAAAAAAATGTAACTCGCAAACTCAAAAATACAGTTGTAAAAGATCCACATCTGGGTGCAAGAAACACCCAAAATGCATGTTTTGAATAATCACAAGATGTGTACAGAAACCATTGACGTACATGTTTTAAAGCACTGGTTAGGTTATGAAAGACTAGTTAACAGTATAAACTACGAACTATATCAATTTGAACACTAGTCTATAGTGCAATAATGATACGAAGCTCTCCTCCCAAAGAAAATGTTTTCATTTTCTTGGGTGATTATTTGAGAGTTTGACTAGGCAAAGATGAAACGTTCATATTTAATGAAACTCACAAAGAAACAAAGATTAATTAGAGAATCGGGATTAATACCTCCTCCTGCATATATAGTAACTTGGCCTTCTTTTGATGAAACTCCGGCCGATATGATTCAGAAAGAGAGCTGCTCCGGCCAGAAATATGTTCATTGGAACCGTAAATAGTGGAAGATGAAGCACCGGAGCCACCAGACTCGGTGGAAACCCTACTCATTTCTTCATCGAGAATCTTGTGAGTGTTGTCACATGCTTGAACTAACTCATGACACCCAACATCACAATTATCATTCAATAATTCTTGTGCTGGCTTCAAATACTTGGAATTCTTAAGAATAGTAGCGTAACCCGTGAAAGGACCCAGCGGGCCAACATTCCGTTGAGCAAAAGAAGAGATCCCCATCAACTGTTTTGGGTCCGAATTCGTTAAAAGATCGTTCTTTAAGGGTTTGGGAGATGAATGTAGGTTTGGAAACTCGGATTTAGCTTGAGGAACTGATGAAAGTGATAAAGATAACCCCTGTGTGATGCAGTTGTTCTCATTAGTTCCTTCTCTATGATCATTATTTCTATTTGCTATAAACCCTAATTGTTCCGAAGCATTCATCCAACACGGAATCGGCTGATTGATCTCTAAAAAGTTCTTGCCTTGATGAATATGGGTTCCTACGGTGGCTGATGTAACAACTTCTTGTAGAGTGTTGTGGTAATACGGTGTAGAACTGAACGCCGGAACTTGGCCGTAGTTTTTCTGATCACCCAAGTGAATGTTTTGCAAATCGTTACTAAACCCGTAACACGATTTGGAAGTGGCTCCGCCGTCAACCACCATCGGAGAATTGGAGTTACTTTGATCGATACTCATGGAAGCAACGTTAGAGTAACTAACAACATTCCAGTCACTACTAACTTGAAGTTGGTTTTGAGAAGCGACAACACTTTTCCAATTCGCACCGTTTTGTGAGTTATCGCCGATAACTTTAGTCGATACCGAGTGGGGAAAATTCGCCGGAGATGAACCAGAACCCGAATCTTGTTCATGGGAAACAAAAGCATGGTTCGGAGGTATCAAAAGTTGTGGATTACTAGCAACGGAATTAAGCATTTCGGAGGGGAATACATTCGGATCGTATGAAATGGACCCGTATCTGGGTCTATGAACTTCAAAGTGAGGATCTTGTGATAAATGTTGGTGGTTCGGATCGTCAGAGTTTTGCTGAAATCTCAACTTATGTCGCCGGCTTTTCTGGGCTACATGAGATTCCGTTCTCAGATTGTTCATCTCCATCAAATTTAAAGATATAGTATCTTCTCACCAAATTATAACAATAAAAGCTTTCACTTGATTAAGAACTGTCAAATTCCCTGCATGAAAACAATCAAAGTATGAAACTTGAAATCTAAAACACCATACAAACAACAATAACAGTTATAAAAGGTTTTGATATCTAGAAAACCCATTCAAGATAAAGAATGGAAGTCACGTAGAAATTCATGGAGCAAGATAAAGGTCGTAGAATCACCTCATAGATGAGAGGAAGTAGATCTTCATCTGGTAAAGCGGCTGCCGGAGAACTAGAGGAACCGTCATCGGCGGAGAGAAGATTAAGAATGGTGGCGTGAGGTGGAGAGAGAAGGAGAGCCTTAGGACAATGATTGCAAAGGTGATAATTAAGTCCAGTTGGCTTTTTAGACTTCTCGTGTCTCAAAGACCTAGAGATTTAACGACGTTAAGATTTGACGGCTGATATTGGGGTTGTCTGCGGCGGTGGCTGACGGGGTTGGATGGTAGAAAAGGATATGGGGTTTAAGAAAACACCCCTAGTCGGCCAATTAATTACGAAAGGGTCTTTGATTATCTACCTTTTTCCAGGGGCCACATAGATTTGACGTCCATTAATTGGATGCATCCGAATCTCTCTTCGATGCATCTCTCTTCACGACCATACAAATTTTGGACACATAACATTTCATATTTAAGGTTAAAGTATATTTCTCTGTGAGTAAATTACACGAATGGTCCCTATGGTTTAGGGTAATTTGCGCATTTGGTCTCTAACTTATTTTTTTAACTGGGAAGGTCCTTATTGTTTGTTTTTATTACACACTTGGTCCCTGTCTTATCTAAAAAGACTATTTTTCCCTTGATTTTTTAATTTATATAAATAAACACACCCCCAACCCCACCTCCGTCATCTTACCTTACCTACCCCACCATTTTTTTTTATTTAAATAATAGTCTTTTTAAGTAAGACAGGGATCAAACGCGTAACAAAAACAAACAATAAAGACCTTCCAAGTTAAAAAAATAAGTTAGGGACCAAGCGTGTAAATTACCCCAAACTATAGGGACCATTCACTTAATTTACCCTTTCTCTGTTCGTAGTTTGGTGAAAATCATGGATAGAAGTAATTTGCATACAATAAATTTTTATTTATATTTCACTTTAGACGGGTTATATATATATATACACACACAATAAATATATTAAAAGGGGTAACTAAGAAGAAGCTAGGAGTACAATTATAGAAACATTAAAAAAACATGCATTATATTTAAACAAAAAAAAAATCCAGTACCAAAAATTAGCATTTCATTCCGACCAACATAGACTTTTTGTACACCATTTGAATCTACCATACCTAATTGAATAAGATTTCTCGTAGATCTATTCAATTTTTCGAGTTAATGAAAAGAAGTTAATAAATTAATTTTCAAAATTAAAGCTTAAGTTTGGATTAAAAATCCGGTTTATTTTAGTTTTATCTTTTCTCTCACCTTCAGAAGAATAAACCATAGACATTTCGCCTATCATTACAATTTTGTAACTATCGCAGTTTCATATCATATAGAAATTTTGAAAAGTACTCTCTTGTTTTTTTTCCTGGCATTGATCCAAAGATGTGAGCAGGGGCGGAGCTACAATGTAGCTACCCTTCAAAATTTTCCGTCAAATGTAAATTTAGTGATTTTTCTTCGAAAATTCGTCACAAATCCGTTGGAAATCCGTCACAAATCCGTTGGAAATCCGTCACTAATCTGTCGGCGGTCCATCACAAAGTCTAACAATTGTGAATTTAGTGTAAACTTGTCGGTTTAGTAACGAAAACTTCCTTCGGAAACGAGTTTTTTCTAATAGTACAACCCCCTAAAAAATTGTGCAATTCGTGGTTTTTTTACCGGATCCACCACTGGATGTGAGAGTAGTTGTGCCTCATTTGCCAAAGTCGTTTGTATTTTAATAGCATCACTGAAAACAGCCTTGTTGCGAATTATCCATATAACCCAAATAAAGAACAATGATATTGTTGAATTCACCTCAGATAAATATGATAGGCATGTAAAAGCATGGCTACAATTAAGTAACTCCTTGGTTGATGTGGGGTTGGGTTTGAGATAGTGTCACCAGCTTTGCGACTCTTTCCACACCTTTTTAGCTAATGGACAAGAAATAAATAAGTGGTTCTCATCTTTCAGGCCTGTATTACACACTTTGTAGTTTGTAGATGTTCTAAAACCGATCTTGGACAAGTTTGCCAAGGTAGGAAGTCTACCGTAATTGAATCTCCAGGCGAGAAAACTCACTTTACAAGGTAGAAGGTTACTCCATGTCCGACATCCAAATTGAGGAAGAGAGGATAGATCACAGTACTTCCTGTATGAGGAGACAGAGTATATTTATGAGATCTCTAAGCTCCAAAGCCATAAAGATACCCCTAATTGTATCAGGCTTATATTGAAAGAATTCCTTGAACTGGAGTTTGTTTTTAGACAATACCAATGGAACTTTTGCTATAAAACCCCAATAACCACCACATATTTTAGCCCTAGTTAGGTTATTTAGGCAACCATCCAATCCATGAATGGATTTTAAGACCTCCTTCCAAACGTTATGTTTTGAATCTCTAAATTTTCACCACCATTTTACCGAGAAGTGAAAAGTTTTGCGCTTTTAAACTTCCAATGTCTAATCCCCCAAGTTCCTTGGGTGTAAGTGTAACAATTGCAAAAATCATCGTCGATCGCAAATTACTAAACATAACAAACAACAAATATAATAGACTTAATATGTAATATTTATCGAACTACAGAAACTATGTGAAATTTCTTATTTCAGTATATAAGAAAAGTCAGTCAAACCATTCATAAACTATAAAAATAAGTGCACAAAAAAGTTACATTATTTTGTGATTAATAACATATTCTGAAAGTACATGTAGACGTGATCCCAAAGAGGTAAACTTCGTAAAAACCTGACTTCATATGGAGAAGTTATGATTTTTCTATTTTATAAAAACAACCGCGCATAAGGAATGTGTGTCGTAAAAAGTTACAGGAAAATCGGTTAAGTTTAGAAAAAACTATGTAAAGGAGAATCGAAGTACTCCTCGTTATAAAACCGATGAGACAAAGAATGTCAAAAACAGAGTTCGTACGAGAAAGATATGATTTTTGCAAAGTCGTTTAGGGTATAAAAATACGGGGTAAAAATAAATTCAAAATTGGCCAATGCAACTTAAAAGAAAGTTGTAGTACTCGTCGATAGCTACACGGGGATATAAAGAACGTCGAAAATGAAGCTCATATGCAGAAGATACATAATTTACAAGATCGAGAAAACTGACGATTGGATTTGCTGAGATTTGGGAGACGTGGACAAACGGGGGGGGGGGGGGGGGGGGGGGGAGTGACACGTGTCAACCTCTGGGTAAGCGAACGCGTTGGTGCGCGACGCGCACCTACAAAAGCGTTGCGCGCCCTAAAAACCTTACTACAAAGAGAAGGTCCCACCTTCTCAGTTCCACACCGCAAATCAGTTCTCTCTAATTCTCTCTCTCTCTCTCTCTCACACACACACTCTCTCTCTCTCTCTCTCTTGTTTGGAGCTCTCCCTCTCCCGAGTCGCCGATCTTCCCAAAGCAATGTCCCGAGTTCGAAAAGCACGCTTCGAAAGTGAGTTCACGACCCTACTTTTACATTTTTAAAAGTTTTCTGGGGGGGGGGGGAAATACATGCTAATTAATAAATTATTGATTTCAAAATTTTTTATTCAATAGTATATCATAATTTGTTATGCAACATTTGTAACGTCCGGTCTCTAGGTAAAATTCTTAAGACATAAGTATTATTGAGTTTTTGAGTTGGCCTAGTACACTGGGATTACCATGGTGAGCTTTAGACACGGGGTTTTCCCATAGTACGTTGGGTGTACATATTGTACGCTTGGCATACCTAAGCTAGATGAAAACCCTAAATTTTAGGGTTTGGTCCCTATTTAAGCAACCTTATGCCCCAAGGTTCTCTCATTACTAGCCCCCATTGTCCCTAAAAGCATTATCTCGAACCCTAACCCATTTTAGAGAGAATTGATCCATGTGCATGTTTTCGTGTGTGTTTGGTGCATCTTGAAGAAGAAGAAGCTTGGTGAAAGAGCATTGATCAAGTTGGATCTTGTAGATCTAGGGTTTATTCATCTTTTTCAGCTTCCTAGAGGTATAAAAGTCTTGAATTTGGTTATTCTATGCTTAGATCTAGGAGTAGTTCAGATTTGAGCATATTTTGGTCCCATGAATGAGTTCTTGTGAGTAAATGTTACTCCAGAAGTTTTGAGTTGTTCCTTTTGATGTTTCTAAGGTTCCTAGTTCATAAAGTTTGCATCCCGATGGTTGTGGATCAACCATGCATGAGTTAATGATCATTTAATGGAAGTGGAATGCTAAATCTAAGGTTTGAGTCTCTTTGAGCCATGCAAAGGCATAATGTTGATGACTTTATCGTTTAAGACATTTCCCAGGAGCTAGATCTGCAAAATGGACGTTTAGGCTTAAAGCATTAAGTGCTTAATGACATTTTAGCAAGTTGGAGCGTATATCGGGCGTATGCAAGTGTACGCTTCTGAGTCCCCATTTCCTTTTGGTAGTGAAGATGTACGTCGGGCGTACTCAGGTGGTACGCTTAACGTACTCACCAGGCCCCTTTTGGGGCTTTAAGTCTTTTGGGCCATTGTTGGGCCTTAAGTTTTTGGGTCATTGTTGGGACTTAGGTTTTTCGGCTTTAGGTCTCTTGGGCCTTGTTGGGCCATAGGTCTTTTAGGCTTGGGCCATGGGATGAGGGGCCCATTAGGGAAGGGTAAAATGATATTTTACCCTAGGAGTCAAGATTAAGGATTTAGACTCTCAGTTATGATTTATGGCCTAATTGTTAATTAGGGTTTTATTATTTGTGATTTACTACGAGGATTTTACGGTTCAGTAGCCCGAGTGTTATTTGTTTATCAGCAGATGGAGGTGAGTCTTCTCACAGTGTTTTAACGGGTCGAAGGCACCAATGTCGGCCCATAGATTATTGTTATTAGAATGGTAGCTGTCTGTGTGACTCTTTCATGTGTTGTATGTGTGTCGGGCGGGTCCCGATGCTAGGCGAGGCGTGATGAGTGTGTTGGACGGGGCCCATCGTATGTTATTGACAGATCTGTACCGGGCGGGGCCCAATGTTGGGTGGGGCTCATCGTATGTATGGTATGTGGTACTTTGGGGGAAACTCACTAAGCTTTTTGCTTACAGTTTTCAGTTTATGTTTCAGATACATCATGTTCGAAGGGGAAGAGCTCAGGATGATCGTATTGTACACACCATGTTTTCCGTATTATTTACTCTGATGTATTTTGGACATGGATGATATACTCTGATTTCCTATTTGGGTTTTCTATGAACAAGTATTTGTTGGTTGTTTTATCTAATATAAAATGAATTTTTTGGTTATAAATTTTGAGACGTTACAAGTTGGTATCAAAAAATCGCCTCCAATGCTCTCTAATGGTGGAAAATCGAAATATGTGCTCCTAACCCTAACCCCCAAAGTAAATGGTGAGCAAAATGACCAAAATGCCCAAAATTGTACAGTTGTGCGGGTGCCCTCGCAGATTTGTACGACTGAGAC